TGACAAGAGGACTTATGGTGCAGACATGGAGCCTCTTCCTGAGTACCCATGGGAAGTCGTGGGACTCCTCCTGGAGGCCCATCTGCAGAATCCTGGGCCTTGCTGGTGCTGGTTCTGTCTATCCCATGCCTCCCTGTACTCAGCCACAATATGTGTTCCCGTTGGACCTGGCTGTCCCACCCCCACCACCCAACACTACGAAACTCCTGCCCTGCCAATTCGGCCAAGCCTGTGTCCACTCATCATGAACTTTTGTCTTCTGAAAATTGGTCCATGCCCTCCACCTGCACCTCTTCCCTCAGCCAGTATGCAGGCTATGTCTGGAGCATGTGTGAGCTCCGTGTCCCACCAATCATCAAAGGAGGCCCTACATGTTTACCAGCTCCAGTTAAACTGACTCCGTGGCTCTAGGGCTGTGAGGCAGGGCCTTGGGAAAAGTGAAGGTCTCACGTATACTTCTCAGTGCTCGGTGACCCTTCCCTGGCCCCTCATGGGCACAGTAGAGACACAGGCCAGTTTCAGTCTTTGCAGCACTCTCTCAGCTGTACAAAGCAAAGACTTTGTATAAGTCCCTCTGTTGGTGGCCTGGTGAGCACTGTGAACACTGATGAGACAGTGAACACTGGGAACATGCAAGAGTCTGTGTGACTGAGGAGAGAGAAAGGACACAGGTTCCATCCAGGCAAGCCAGGACCCACACAGATGGGAGGAAGGCACAGGTGGGAGGAAGGCACGGTGGGTTCAGGGAACTGGAACCAGGCCCAGCCTGAAGAGCCTGCTCAGAGCTCAGTGATCATGATGGTGGGGGTCTTCTGCCCTGGGCAGCAGAGCCTCTGGGATACCTGTGCCAATTCAGGCTCACACCATTCTGGGGCAAAGACATAAGTCAGGCCAAAGCAATGTCTGGGCAGGTGGAGCACATAGGCCGTGGAAACCGGAGACCTCTCTCCTCTCAGAGGATACCTCGGACAGGGCAGTGCCACACAGTGTGCAGCAAGGGTGCAGCCCAGCCCTAGTACCCCATGCTGCTAACACCCATGACACCACGTAGTCCAGCTGTGGTGGTCCACTGGGTGTGTCCTTTGGACCCTAGAACAGACGGAAGAGGACAGCAGTCCCCGGCAGCTCCTGAGAGCCGCTGACATCTTCATAAGGCTTCCTGTATGTCTCTTCAGCTGTGCCCCAGCACCAGGGACGACAGGACTGAGCTTTCTCTCCTCCAAGGGGCAGATTGACCAGCAGCCCCCATGGTTGCGGCAAAAGCTGGAGGTCCTTCTGCTGGGACACCCAAGGCTGTTTTAGGGCACTCTTCCCCATCCTGCTCTTCTCCTGCCCTTCCAATGGCTCACTGACTCTGGCCGTGGGATCCTGTGAACTGTAACCATCTCCTGTGCTCTCAGCTCTTCTCTGTGCCTGCATTTGTCTTGCGCGTGCCCCATCTGCCCACTGGTCCCAGTTGTCCTCCAAGTTTCAAGCTGTGAGGGATCCCCAGAAACTGGAGCCTGTAAATGCTTCTTTATCTCGACATTTCACTTTCGGACAGGAGTATTGTCCCCTGCTGGCCTGCGTCTGACAGTGCAGGTTATTTCTGAACTGCGTCTTTTCCATAGAATTTCCTCAGCTGTCTTTTGCCATCCCAGGAGGGGGCCAGCTGTTGGGCCAGGATGGTGGAAGCAGTGTAGCTCACATGCCAGGGCAGAGTCAAGAACTACCCAGGGTCTTCTGGAAGCCCAGCCAGTCCTGAGCAGCCACTGACACCCTCCTGACTAGCTGTGGGCCCTGGATGAGTGACCTCGACTATGGCCACGATGCTCCTTCCTCTGCTGTCCTTACCAGGACTAGCTGAGAGCCATTCAGAGCCAGGCCTGTCCCTGCAGAGGGCAGTGGAAAGGGAGGGAACAACCAGCCCTCTCTAGAGGATATAGAGATACTCAGGTGCTTGGCGTGGACGCACAGGGTAGGTACATCTAGAACAGAAGGAGGATGACAGTCTCTGGCAGTTTCCCCTAATCATCATGGCTACTGCTCAGGTTGCAAGGGCAGGAGAAGCCAGCAACAGGATAGAGGTAGTGGCCAGGGCTCAAAGGCTTCAGGGGCCTGGGGCTGGAAGGAAGCCTCCCCAGAATGAAGTTGTAAGCCCCAGTGCCTTGGTCTTGGTCTCGGTGTCTGTGCTACCATCTTCTGCCCAGCAAGCTGCCTCAGACGCGTGTGGGACAGACAAGGCTGAGGTTGGGGGCCCAGAGACCTCTGGCTTTCAGCAGACCCTGATGGCCATTCAGGCCATTCTGCCAGCTCTGCCTGCACACATGTTGTCACTGCTGTACCTGGGAGTGGGGTCACAGTGGATGCAGGCCTCTGGGCTTCTGCTTCTGGGCCCATGAGGAGCCCAGCCCAGCACATCCAGGCCCACAGAACCAAGCCCAGAGGAAGCCTTGCTCCTAATCATTCAGAAGCCCTGCAAGAATCACCAGGAAGAGAGCAGTGACACTTCCAAGGCAGGAAACCCATCTTTTATTCATTGAATCCAAACCACCAGTGAATTATTCATTCACATTTATGTAAGCCATTGAACTACAAGAATGACAGGGAGGTCAGAACATTGACCTTCCAGGCCCCAAATCAAGTGACTATTCTTGCTTCCTTCCCTGGACCCTCTTCACTGAGATGGCCTGGCCCCTCTTCCCTGAGGAAGTGGCTTCCCTCCAAGTTGTCAAGGGTGGTAGCCCGCCCCCTTTGTGTGTAGCTGCAGCCACAGATGCCAGGCATGTGGCCAATGCCTAAGCACCCAGGAGCAGTGCAGCAGCACCTTCTCCCTCCGGGATGCACACCAAGGGCTGTGGGTGTGCGTGTAAGCCTCATGCAGACCTGCACCCCACCTGCTCTGTGCCCTGTGCACTGCGCAGAAGGGGCCTGTGCCATCTCCAATGTCAGGCTACATTTATCACAGAGATTTAATTTTTCCCATTGGATGTCAGAGATAGATTAAAGGCCATGTAGTCTGTGACAGGGCTGAAATATCACCCCTGAAGTGTGGTCAGTGAATTCTTCTTCCTGCTGATGGCTCCATCTTGGGGAGGATTGGCTGAAGGACACAGGGAAGAATATTGGGGTCAGAGCTGCCAATTAACCTTTTGATTTTGTAGTCTGATTCCTCCATTCATCAAGAACTGCAAGCTCGTGTCCTATTGAGGGGCTCTTAGCTGTGGACAGTGTCCACCAGGCCTCCACATGCATGATGAATGGAGGAGCAGCAAGGGCAGGGCTATAGTGGACAGTGCCACATGACCCCTCTGCTGACAGGATGGTTTTTGTCAGGCCATTCCTCCTCCAGGCCCAAGCACCAGGATGCTGAGCTCAGAATGTGTGTCTCAAAGAACTCAGAAGGCTTAGAACTCAGAGCTGTGGGTTGAAGCCCCAAGAGGCAGTGAGGACAATGACAGCCCTGCCTGAGCCTTTGTGTCCACAGCGAGGCCATTGCACTCTGAGCCATTGGTCCTGCATCACAGACACATGGCAGTGAAATGAGGGTGTGCATGTGGCTTGGGGGCCTGTGTCACCCTGAATGGGAACCCAGTGCTCCTGGGTCTCTGTTTTCCTCAGTCAGTCACCCAAGGCCTTCTGGTTTCCACTTACCTCTCCTGGAAGGAGGCTCACCATGCCCACTCACTCCTCCCAAAAGCCATCCAGACCACACAGCCCCATTCACCTGACCCTGGCGCCTGGGGCGCAAGCTCGTGCTTCTCAACACCTCTGTGGGCGCTGTGACTCCAGAGTCCCACCTTTCCTCTCACACTCCTCTAGGCAGGGGCTGCAGGCCTCCAGGCTTGGCCTGGTCCATGAAGCCATTGGTCTGCAGGCTCATTGTGACTCAGGGCTACTCCTTGTGGGCACTGTCTGGGGTCAGACTGCTCAGGAGCATGCTCTGTGCCCCCAACCATACACCACACTGATAACTCACTTTCTGTCCCTTGGCCCACTTGGAGTGGGCTTCCTGAGCCTTAATTTAGCCTGTCCCTTGTCACAGCAGCCAGGCCCAGGCTCCCATCCTGAGCTCCAGACCGGACCTCCAGGAGGTGCCAGCTCAGGAGATAGCTCCATTCGTGTTTAAGTGGAGCTAAGCTTAGTAATTAACGGAGGGATAAATCAAGGTTTAATTACTCAGAAGGCACCTTGGGCGAGAGATTCATGGTAATTGTGTGTCCTTGTGGTGGTTTTGCACAGCTGGTGTCTCCCTGGGCGGCTGTAAACCATGGTGGGAGAAACGGCAGGGAGGTGGGGGGATCTGCCTCAAATGGTCTACTCAGAGACGCATGGGGGAAGGGGACAGCCCACAGCTCAGCTGTAGGACCCACCCAGACCCTGCTTCAAGGAGACCCCTCACCAGTGGCCTCACTGTGGAGGTGGCCGGCAGGTGACCCCCCCAGTACATAATCCACAGTGGCCAGACGGCTCCTCGTCCTTGTCACTGCTTCCCTGCTCAACATGTGCCAGGGTTGGGTCATGGCGGGGCTGCAAGGCAGACTCAGGTCTTCACTTACATACCCAGGCTTTTGGTGCCTCCTCTCCAGAGCATTCCCACCTGGACATGTGCACCCCAAGTCTTGGCCACCCCTGGAGTTTCCCAGGGTGACTCGGACTGACAGTGCCCTTTATTATTCCACAGGCCTGAAGGCTCCAAGCCAGGTGCAGAATCTGGAGTCCAGGTATCTGACTCCAGCATCTGGCTTTCAGAGTCACTGCTTTCTTTTGAGTTGCTGTCGTTAATAGAGTTAGCTTTATTATCATTGCCACCAGAAGGTCAGACCTGCTTATCAGCCTGCTGATTCTTCTGCGCGCACAGATTGAGGCTTGCTGACGTGGCACTGGCCTCCCTCATCTCTGGGCGGGAGTGACTAGGGTTGGGACATGGCTGTCCTCGCCACTTGACCCTCCTATGTCCCTGCCCCTACTTGAGTTGTCCAGGCTGGCTGCTCACGCCCCCCCTCTACTTTTCCCTGTAGAGCTTCGGAAGCAGGTGGAAAGTGCTGAGCTGAAGAACCAGCGGCTCAAAGAAGTGTTCCAGACCAAGATCCAGGAGTTCCGCAAGGTCTGCTACACTCTGACAGGCTACCAGATTGACATCACCACTGAAAGCCAGTACAGGCTGACCTCACAGTATGCTGAGCACAAGACTGACTGCCTCATCTTCAAGGTAGGCCACATTCCACAGCCTGGCTGTGCATGGCTGTCCCTTCCCATCTGGGAGAAAGCAAACCGTTAGCCCTCACGTCACCAGATGTGGTGTAATGGAATGGGAGAGGACATGCTTGTCATCCCAGTGTTTGATGACTGATCCTGGGGGCCACCGCCACCTGGCCATTCAGCTTGGACCTCTCCCTTCCTTTCTTGGTACCTACCTTCTGCATGTCTCCACCTGGGTTCCCCCTGTGGTTGGAGATACTAAGAGCATATCATTATCACTTTGTCCCTAGGCAGTAGTGTCCCAGAGGACTAAAGTGATTGTGTGAGGTATGGAAGGTGTGGCTTCAGAGCTGCTAGACCTTGAGCAGAGGGCAGTGTTCAGCATGGCCAGAAGGAAGGGAAAGCCAGTTGGGCTGGCCACTTGTCCATTGGCTGAGTTCACGGCAGCCATGCTTAGCTCCTGTATGAGCCATGTGCTCAGTGCCAGGCTGTGATGAAGTGTGCCAGGGATTCTCTTACTAGGCCCTCACTGCCATGGTAGGGCCTGGCCTGGTGGGACTGTGCATGTGGTGTGCCTGTGGCTTCCAGAATTCTGATCTGGGGGAACATGGGAATGAGGAGTCCTCGGGACAGGGAGCTCCAGTAGCAAAAGGTAGGTGTGTTACTACGCTGACAGAGTGGTGGTCCCACATGTATGTCAGGAAACTGGAAATCTCAGGTGACAAAAACATGTCCATCACTGACTTAAGGGTGATGCTGCTGCTCCAGTGTAGTGTGTGGCTGTCAGGAAGGGTTGAGCCAGCAGTATCTGCGGGAGGTCAGGATCTACGAGGTTTGGCCAGGCCATCTGAGCCACCACAGCCAGCTGGTCTGTCTATCTCTGTGGACACGGGAACCGACTTTTTCACTGAAGCTGTCCTCTGTGTGCCCTAAGCATTTCAAGCAGAAATCTAGAGATAACATGTTGCTCCTGTGTTCGCCTTGCTCAGGCCAGCGGCTTACTGAGCTTACACTCGTCCATCTGTCAGTCATCACACACTGTGCAATGCTCCACCTCTGCGGCCAGAGCCGTGCTTTGGGCTCAGTCCCACTGTCTCCTCATTTCACAGCTCACCTCCCAGATTTCCTAGATGTCTCAGGTCGTGTTCGTACATTTTACGCTTCTTGAAACTTGTCAACCTTTTGAGTAAATAAATATTCAAAAATACTCAAAGTCTTCCATTAAATAAGCGATCGGAAATGTACTTCTTCACTTTTGTATAATTCTATGTACTTCTGAATAACTCAAGATCGCTGATAGGTATTTAGCTTACCGTACTGTAGAAGTTCCTTTTTTTTAAGATTAGGCAAATAAAGATGTACTTACAAATGGTACTGTTGAGTATGTCACTATTGCCGCAATGTTTATAAATTATGAGGCAGATTTCTCAGTGGATTCTTACACATTCCTTGGCTAAAGTGTTTGTGATCTTACAAAAACTACCTCCAGGGAGACCTTGGGGAAACATTCCAAAATGTTTTGTATTATAGGTTGTTGAAGATACAGAAATCCCAAAAGAAGAGAACTGTTCACTCAGGCTCCTCCTTCCAAAGATGCTGCTACTAGTGTTTTGATGCCAGGGGCAGGGAGGGGCATGTGAGTGCAAGCCTCGTCACCCTGCCCACCTTACCCCACTCAGTAATCGTCCCTGCAGCTCCCCTCTGGTCCACCTGAGGACCTTGTAGCTGCCTGTGAAGCCTGCTGTGTGCCTGGCCTGGCTGGCCTCATGCATGGCCCAGCCTCCACAGAGCACATGGGAAGTGTGAGAATAGGAGGCTGACCTGGCCTCACAGAGCTCGAGGGATGAGAGGGAACCCACGGCTATGTTGATGAGTGCATCCCCAGATGACAGTTTGACATGTGGGTGTCCTCTCCCACGAACTCAACCCTTCCAGGGCTGAACGTGGCCAGAGCCTCAGTGTCAAGATGGCTGGTGGGCAGGTAGCCGAGGCCCACAGCTGTCTCCAGCTTGCTTTAAAGCAACACAGTTGCAATGGTGCCTCCGTCATGCCTGGCCTGTGATTTGCTACAGAATGTGCACAAGATGAGGATACGGTGCTTGGGCCAAGTAAGGTGTCGTGTGTCACCATGTAGCCTGGTGAGGGGTTGTGTGTCAGCGTGGTAGCCTAGTGAGGGACCACGTGTCATTGTAGTGGCCTGGAAAGGGGCCATGTCCTGTGACGTTGGGTAGGGTGCTGGGTGAGGTTAACTGGTCTCAGCAGCCCCATGTCCCTCCTGCCAGGGCAACTGTGACCCACAGTGAGGCCTGAGATAGCCATGGTGCAACTGGTTGGGCTGCCATCTCTTGCCTGGCCAGGGCCAGGAGGATGTCTCTCCTGCTGCTGTGTGCTGGTTGTTTTCCTCCAGAGCCTCCATTCTCGGCAGAACCTGCTGCCATCGGGCCTCGGCCCAACGTACTTCCATATGCTGTCCGTGCCACCTCTCTTTGCCCTGGTGCACCTGTGCAGGTATGGGGCCTGCTGGAATCCCATGCTGGCAGTGCCATCCAACATCCTAAGCCTGCAGACACTGGCCAAGCTACCACATTTGTCTCCCCATCTGTCAGAGTGGTGATTCCAGGCTTATCCTCGAGGCTTGGAGGAGATGATATTCACGATGTGCTTGCTGAAGGCCCGGGCCCTGGCCTGGCGCCGTGGGACCAGCATTGGTTCTGGTTGGTGGTAACACCACAGAGGTTTGCTCAGCCTCAGCCCACAGACACTCCTGCCTCTACACAGCCTCTGCTGACACTAGGTCCTGTCTGATGCTCTGCCCCCTACAGAGCCACACAGTTGTGCTCCCTCTCCTTCCATTGGAAAAAGAGTATGGAGCCCTAGGAGAGGCTCAAAGTGGAGCCTTTGCAAGCCCCTCCTATGGGCTGATGCTTCTCTGGTCAGAACTGTGGGCTGGCAGCCTTTGGTAATCTTCCCACTGTGGTACCAAGAGGAGTTTGGGTATGTCAAGCCTTCCGATGAAACTTTCTCACCAGGTCACCAGAGCTGGTTCTGCCCTATCCCTTCTGTCATCTCTGGTCACTTTACACCATGAGGCACAGTAAGCTCAGTGGGAGGAGGGGCCGTGCCTGTGCATTGATGGTAGGCATTGTTTCCAACGGGAGCCCAGCTCGTGGAGAGGGCATTCCCAGGATCTGCTGGGCATGGACAGAGGGGAGAGACGGATGCCATGTGTAGTGGCTCAAGCCTGTAATCTCAGATGGGGGAAGGCTCAAGCAAGAGAATGCTTGGCGATGGAACTCAGGACCTTGCCCTTGTGAGGCAAGTTTAAGGCCCACTTGGGCAACCTAACAAGACCCCATCTCAAAATTAAATATTTTAAAAGGCCTGAGGATGCAGCTTAGTGGTAGACTACCTGCCTAGCATGTGTGAGGCCCTGGGTTCAATTGCCAGTACTCCCAAAAGGGGGAGTGGGGGCCAGACAGATGGCAGATTGACCTCTGGGGCCTAGGGCCTTGTCCCAGCCCCACAGAGCTGGTGCACACTGGTTAGTGTGATGACATCTAGTCAGGAACCAGAAAAGTCAACCAAACCGCAGCCCCCTAGCCACTTCTGTTTGTTTTATTTTCCCAGAAATGAATTTAAAGGCAGGAAGAGGTCTGAGGCAGAGTTAGAAATAGCTGTGCCCTGTTTCCAGTCGAGCAGGTTCTGCAGATGTGTGCTGGGATAATTGAGGGTTTCTTGCTCAGTCCCACATGCTCTGCTTCCCGGCCCAGCCGGGACCCAGCCTCTGTTGTCGAGTGGGTGGAAGGAGCTGTTGCCCAGGGTCTGCCATTTGGGGGAAAGGCAAGAGATCTCAGCTCCAGCTCAGCCCAGCAGGAGCCTGGCATCCTGCCCACTCCATGCCCTCCAAAGGAGGCAGATCTGATGGGTTTCTCTGAGTTTCCTTGGAAAGGCTGGCCTGCGCAGGCCTGGAGGAGGGTTGTGCTGGCTGTCCACCACCATCGAGGGGTGGTGAGCTTGGAAGCTCACCGTGCAGTAGGCACTTCCTGGACAACTCACTCTTTGTGGTTCTCCAGGACTCTGCCTCTCCCCTTGCCCCACGAGGGAAATGTCCTGTCAGAGTGTCACCCACGATGACAGTAAGCAGTGCCACACAGTAGATGCCACTCAGGCCAAGGCCACATAGTAGCTGCAGCTCATAACTGACTGTGTGGCCCCTTTCTCTGAATGACCCCATGGGTCAGTGTAGGTGAAAGCCTACAAGGTCTGCTCAGGACTAGAGGTTAGGGACTATAGGGGCTGGAGCTGCACAGACAGGACACAGCGGCAGAGCAGTGCCTGCTATGTCTCAGCATTGCACCTGAGTTCCCAGCGTTGGAATGCAGGACTGTGGAGACATCTGCCATGGGTTGCCAGGCAGCTGGGGAAAGATCACATGTATACAGATGTCAGTCCATAAATGCACCCTGGTAGTGCATCCTTGGTGGGTGCATCTGCGACAATCGTGGATGCTTTCCAGAGCACTGAGGCTTTTGGGCTGAGCCTCTTACTCTTCTCTGGCAACATGGGGTAGCATTAATCAGAATATGTGTGTGATTCAGCACCCCACGAGACTTGGCTCACAGTATAACTATCACTTCTCTCGGGGTTTGTATACCAAGGGTTCCCTGGTGTCCTTAAGCAGGAACTGCCAAAGCCATCTCACCTTTGGGTGCCTTACCCAGGGATCAAGGGCTCACTTAGCCCCCTGCTTATCTACCCTGTGGGCCCACATGAGAAACAGGCACTGCCTCAGCCCTACACCCTCCTTAGTGCCTGTCCTGTGATTCCAATCACTTTGCTTTCCAGAAGCTAATAGACCCCACACGTGTAGAGGGGTCAGGTGAAGAGGTGGTCAGCTTCCCCTTCACACCTGCTCACACAAGCACCAGAACTACCCGGGACCAGCAAGTGCTTGAGTGGGAATAGGCCAGTGATGCACAGCAGTCCCACACCAAGTGTGCTGGGTATACA